ACGTTCGTTGCATTGGCATCGCAACAACATACATACCTATATACTATGCATGTAGTATGTTCGTTACTGCTGTCGCAGTTTAGGATCCAGCTAAAACCATACACCTGCCGCTTGAGGAATCGTAGGTATTGTATGTCTGTTTGCCTGCCATGCGTGTTTGGGTGCATATTAACACCGTTTTGGTAATGCAACGCCATTGGCTTACTTCTTATGTCCGTATTGGTTCTTGTGATGCTACTAGAATACCCGTTATAGGCAGTGTTTGACCATGTCTTTCATAGAACAGTATACAGCAGACAGACATCGTAATACCTTAGGAGGTACTCAGCATTATAAAAACCGGAGATGCCGCTAGGTTTGTATGTACCTACATTACCACATATGCAAGGATCAAATTACGCCTCTCGCGCTGTAATCCTATTGATCCTACGACGTGACCCTTCGACGTGCTCTCCGTGACATTTTGGTGCCTGACAGGATTTAAAGTACCGACGGCGCAGCCACATGTGCGAAATTCTTCCTAGTTCTGGCGCCTTTTCTACGCCTCTAAGATTAACGGGCCGCTTCTGGAAGGGCATATCTGCCATAGATGTGCTTGGTGCTATACTATGTAGTTACACGACTCGGATCCGCGAACTACGATTGGTTACTTATAAGTCATCGTATAGGTGCGTATTGGCACGAAATCCAGGTCAGCGCCATCTGCGGTAAGAAGCGCTATTCGTCAAATGTGCTGTTATGTGCTGTTGTTCAATGACGTCGTAACCAAGCGGGTGATCCATTTCCAGCTCGGGGAAGAGATTTATACCTCGCAATTAAGATTATCGATCCTGTGAAGCTTATTATATCCCGCGAGTGACGAGTTCGTGAAACTCTGGGGAGTGTTGGGCTTAGTCTTGTATGTATGGGCCTAAGTGCCTGAATAGCTTGTCACACACGACTCCTCAGCTACTCAAATTAAACCCCTTATTATAATTGTATTATGGTTACACACATAGAAGGTTCAGTAAGTACGTAGATAGGTAGGCTTGGAATCTACGGACACGGGATGAAGCTTAATGTTAATGTATGCTGGCATAGTATATAAGTTGTAGTTCAGCATTAATAGACTATATTTATAAATCTTGCACTGTTTAAAGGCCAGCAAATGAAGACTTCGGCTATAAAGCACTCCTCAGGGGCCTGTAGGTGATATTTTTTTCATAATACCTACAGAGATGACATGCAGGAACCTAACTCGCTAAGTTCTGACAGAGATGCACGCTCATCATGTACTCAGAAAATATAGACTTGGAAAAAAGGGGTTGGCATTTTCAGCTTCTAGACATCCTGGGTACCTGTCTTCACAATATACCAAAGACACTAGTAGAGCAGGTCTTGACGGTTCATAATTATATGCATACGCTCGTTAGCACTAGCTTGCTTATAGACAACAACTAAAGCTTCATTCCGATAGGATATCCTCTAGAAGATGCTCCAGAGCTCTTATCCGTCTTTGTATTTTATGAATTACAGCAGTGCTATCACTGTCTATTGACTCATGTATGCTTCGTAATCGTATGTCTATAGCTCGAAATATATTCCTTTACTTCAGATAGTTTTCCTGGGTAGATCCATCCAGGGCTATTAATCGCTTTCTAGGTAGTAAGTGACCCTTCCAGGGGCTTAGGCATCTATCGACGCCATTGAAGTGAAATTGTTAAGATCCAGTCAGAGAGGTCACGTACCTGTCAACTCTGGACTCTTAGCAAGGTACCTATCTTACATCCCCAGACTATCGAAGCACCTAAGACAAAGAGCTTCTCGCTATACCAGTGGTTCAGTTTCAGATAGGTTCATAATTTCTCGTCGCTCAACAGTGTTGTCTTACCACTTCTTGCTTGCGTCCTCATAGCACCAACACGACTTGCAGGTCTCTAGGTGGACCTTGGTAGTCAATAGTACTAATTAATACAACACGGGCTTGTGATGAATCGAATGCTCCATGTCGAAGTGCAAGAAAACTCTTACGAAGAATCCAGGCTTATTCCGTTAAATATGCTATCACGTTGGCTATTTTAAAGTACCCCAAGGGGCCTCTGTAGCGGACTAGTGTTAAATGTCAGCAATGAAGTCACATACTATAGACGTTGAAGTTATTGAAAGCCAACTATACTTTAGCTCAGAGTTGATGCCCAATCGCCACCGCTAGTTGTGAAGGTTCTCTCTCCCTCTTGATACCTAACGCAATGCATACTCGGTTCTGCGAGCTCGCTTGCATCCATGAAATATCGGTATAAATGCAAAGCGCTAGAATATTGGGGATGGTTAGAACAGTCACCAATGCTTCTTCACCGCCACACATGCTGTCCGCTGAGAAACATGTTGGCTCTCTGGTTTTACTCGCAGGATATCCATCAAGTCCTGTTGGCTAAACCTCTCACAGACGTCATTTCATTTGCAGTAATCTAAGTTGAGCCGTTAGTGAAGGCAGAGCGGTAAACCAGTTGCATTCGCAGAAACTCCCAAGAGACAGAAGGTCACTTCGAGCCATCATACCTGTTCAGGAATTTAGGTAGAAATCTTGTCAAACGGCCCTGAAAACCAAGTCGCACTCTATTGAAGAGTATCCGGAAGTGGTTTAAGCATGTAAGCCCAGTGAGCCCAGTGAGAAGAGCTCTGTGCGATTCAAGTCACAGGTCAAGTGATAATGAAAATGGCAGATCCGAACAGTATAATGTGCAAACTCCTGCAGCTTTCCGATAGATTCGTCCATAAATACCTATCAAAATCTAGCCAGTCTAGCACCGCACAGGGAAATGCACGTGGCGCTTCTTCGACTATATATCAACGTCTCTTATAATCAAGACGCTACGAGGTGACCGATAACGCAACGATATAGCCGATCGGACGCTTTCCGCAGACAATGTGGATGAGAGTCTCCGTTACTCGCTAATGAGTGTTGAGTTTCGTATAGTTAGGTAGGTTTACTATCGCATCGTCACTAGTAGTTCGGTAATACAAGGTATCACTTAGGCCGAGATGACTGCGCCGTACCCAACTTCATCAAGGGGTAATTCTCTGGGAAGTTATTGAATATCTTTTTGGCGAACTTAGCAAAACGTCGACCCTTTCCGGTTTCAACAAGGTGAGACGGCTGTGGCCAATGGGACCAATGTATAAAAATAAGCCATATGCGCCTGGAGCATGTTAAGATGAGTTCTACCGAACTGTGCTAACAACTTTAGAGAGAGTGAAGTTATTAGGAGTCCTGTTTAACCCCTATCTTGTAAAAATAGGTAAACAGATCAGTGATAACTATAGGTTTATTAAATTGATACAATTCAAGTCGACAAATTGCAAGATGCTATGATAACTGTTGTAAGTTTAGTTTCTTATTTTTATTGGTGTCCTAAAGATTCATACCCAGTGAAACCCAAGATGTAGAATCCTCCGTAAGAACCAGAATAGGGGAGACCCGCTCGCTACAATTGAACTACGCCCCCTTAACGGCATTGGCGTTCCTTCTAGGCCTGAAACTGGTGCTTACAATACAGTTTGTAAAGAGAAGGATTGCATTTATTCGATGAGGGGAGGTTGCTGATTGGACGAATCGACATTAAAAGATCTGCGGCGCGTTCCCCTCCCGGAACCGAGCTGATTTCTATCTGACTTAGGTAACTTGAGTCTTCTTTTACATGCACATGTGCTTACTTCAGAGCACTACATCAACCCCGGAATCAACTAGGATACGCGACCTTAATTATAACAGTAAGGAAGCTGTGTAACGTACTTTTGTTAATGTCTAGTAACGCTTAATACCAGAGCACAATTCATTCTAAAGCTGTTAATAAGCTAGCTGGCCGCATATCGAAATGATCACTAGGTACCTAATTATATCTACGACAACTTTAATATATTACTTGAATTCAACTCTCGGGACCGGTGGTGGATTCAAGGGATCTGGGGTTCAATACGTGAATAAACAATAGGACCGATGAAGTTCATTCCCATGGTCTAGATATACAAACCTATAGGCTGACTACGCCGCGTACCCAAGTATAATGTTATCTATAGCGCGCAGGAGTTCCCGGAAACGAGGCTCATATTAAACAGGAAGCCAATTATAGCCATTCTCTTACATAGACGCCCTTAGGCCCGAGGCTGAGAAAAATTCTGTTAAGCATAATAGATACACCTCCTACAGACTCGACTCGGTTACGTAGTCTGTAGGTGGTCATGTCAATGCATTGAGAGACATGGGTATCGATGTAGTACAAGAACTCCCAAACAAAGCATGATAGCTCAAAAATTTCCCTACCTGAGCGTTTCGAGAGCCGCAGAAGGATCTTCATTGAAAACATCTTCTGCCAGGAAACGATTCCCCAGTTCTCCATATAGAAACCTTCAATATTTCTAATCCTACCTCAAGCAACACCTAAGTGCCAAAAGCCCACGATCCGAACCGCATCCTAAGATGGTCTGTTCTTCGGGGACATGCATTCGTACCGAATTTTCCTTGATTCTGGTTCTGCCCTATGGGAACAGCGGCCGAATAGCATGGAGGATATTAGGATGCCACAATGATGCCGTACCATCCCAAGAACCCTCTACCCATCGGCACATGGCATATACTCCCAACTCGATGATACCCAAGTGACCTCTGGAGCCGAAGCCCGGACATCCATACTACCTTGCTTGCGTATTTTGGGGATTAGCTAGAGCCCATCGTCTACCATGCAAGCGTCCTGTTATATTGGCTGGTCACTACTCAGTACATAAAGGCTTTCGCTAGTATGATAACAATAGTAGAGTACTTATCGTGGTATATTTAAGAGTGAGAGAGCTCGTACTTGGGGAAGATTTGTCTAAGGATCGAAACAACCCAGCCTGACTACCTATTCTTGTAGAATAGTTGCATACCATCTACTACACTGCCTCCAGTTATATTCCCTACTATTTATTCCTCAGACCTGCTAGTCGAGTGTAGCATAAACCTGATCCAAGTTTCTATATGGAACATGCCGTATAATGCTGGATGCTATGGTATCTCAGTTGCTTTGCCCGTTCAAGTAAGTTGGTTGGCCAATCTAGATTCCCCCTACCGTATGCCCGAAAGCCCCCGAGGGGTGCCACCCTTACCCGCTGTCTATTTTTATTGGCACTCCTACCAGCCTTGCCGGCTCCATAAGCATCACGGATGCCTCCGACTAGGTCTCATCGAACCTCCCCGTAGGACTACGGCTAGTAAATAAAACCGGCCTGTCCAGACCCAAAGCCATCATTATTTACAACCGACAGACAACCCCTTTCAGCAAAGTAAACCTCAATTATCATCTACTAACAACAATATCCAGATGGTTTCTTCAGAGCACTTGTCGTCGGCGTACGTCTCTGACGACACTTACTACAGAGGCGAACATGCATCGTCACAGGGTCAAAACGTCTCGTACGCCTCTTATCCAACTATTGCACCTGTCAGGGCCTCCGAAAGCATGCTAGGCTACCAGAGTCAGTCACTTCCTCCTGCATCGGTCCCGAGTATCCCGCATTACGTTGTGGGTGGCCACAATCCAACGGATGTGAATATGGGATCTTCCACCGGAGCATCGTTCACCACACCCACAGGAGACCCTTTCAGCCTCCCATTTTACCAAGCTATACCACCAGAGTCTAGGTCTGTCGATACTGCCGATACTTATCACCATAATTATCCGCCAGGGTACGGAACAGCAACAATGAGTCCGCGCGTTCCATCGGCAGGGGCATCGACTGGTTCTAGTCACAAAAAGAACAAGCAGTCGTCACGGACAAGAAAGTCTAAACAGCCCCAGGTACTCTCGCCTGGAAGCACGTCTTCAACATCAAACTCTAGCAGATCTAGACTCCGTAGTGCTTCTCGCACAAGCAAAAATACGCACCATAATCCCCCGGCTACAGTCGAGGAGCAAAAAAGCCGCGACACACATAACCAAGTGGAAAAGCAGTATCGGAACAGACTTAATGCTCACTTTGAAAGCCTGCTAGATGCTCTACCAGAAACTATGCAAGCTGGCGAGGGTGATGATGAAGGGGAATCGTTGGACTTGACTGACCGTAGAGTTAGCAAAGCGGAAGTATTAGACATGGCTCGGCGCCACATTCAAGCTTTAGAGCGCGAATGCGCTGCCTTGGAAGGGGAAAGAGACGAACTCCGGAATAATATGGAGAGATTACGCTGGCTGTTTGGACGGTGCGAAGGGACCGACGGGTTCAACGAGCAACTGAACTTCCCAGGCGCGGGAGGCCTACATTGAGAATTACATCCAAAATAGGGGGTGGGAGGACCGCAATGGGATCAGATCATGCATTTTTCACACTCGGCAATTTTTTATTCTTGTACTACTAGATCGGCTTACGGAGTTAGGGGCTGGGAGGTGACGTTGACAGTCAGGAACTTCAACTAGGTACATGATTTAGTTGTTAAGCACACCGACTAAGATCCCCTTGGATGGGAGAAACGGGACGAGAAACTATACTATACCTACCTACGCTCAGTTTGGCTGGGGCAGATGCTTACCGGCTAAGTACCTAACATATAATAATTTAAACATAGAAGTCCCATGCCGTACAGCATATTTCTTTCTCGAAAACTGCGTGATATTCGAGTTTGATAATGCAAATAGGGGGGAATCCCCTTTTCTTGGACGAGCATTGCTCAGTGACTTACATACCTATACATCATATCACTTATACGTATCGTACTGACAGACAATGGCCTCGACGACGGTGAGTGGATGGATGATGGCATTAGCCCCACTCATCGAGCTACTTTAAGTCCAACCCATTAAGAACTCAAAAAGAAATCTCGCGCAACATGGGAAAGTTCGTGCGAAGTTCGTGCAAGTATCGTCAATCTGTACATATAAGTCCCTGACTTAATTAGGAAGGTCAGTTGATCCGTAGGACTCTACGTAGTTGCATCATGGCCAATAGACGAATTCTTGTTATCGCGGGGAGCGATTCAAGCGGTGGTGCGTAAGTTCATGAGCCTATCATCCGACCCTCACGCCCTCAACTGACAGGATCGTCGATGTAAATCAACAGTGGCCTCGAGGCAGACCAGAAAGTCATTGCAGCTCACGGCTGCTATGCTATGACTGCCACGACAGCGTTGACGGCTCAGAATACTACTGGTGTCAGTGATATACACCACATACCCCCTGAGTTCGTAAGGAAGCAGATCGATGCCGTCTTTACGGATATTCAACCCGGGGTCGTAAAGACTGGTGAGTAATCAGATCATCTAGTTCGTCGCGCTGAAGCTTATCTAGATTCCATTAAGGGATGCTAGCATCTGCACGTACTATTGAAACGGTAGCACGGGCGTTGAAGGATTACAAGGTTGAGACGTTGGTATTGGATCCTGTAAGTCTATTCGCTTGATGGCCTTTCCGAGGAAGATAATGATGGCTTAGTCTAAATAGGTTATGGTCGCCACCACTGGCGCTAAACTCCTACCCCTGGATGCCGTGAATGAGTTAAGAACTCTGCTGCTCCCACAGACGTTCATCCTTACTCCAAATATTCCCGAGGCACAACTCCTACTCTCCGAGAGCGGAAAGGGAACTGTCGATATCCAGCGTGTAGACGACTTGGAAGTAATTGCCCAAAAGGTGCTGGGATTAGGACCAAAGTGGGTTCTCGTCAAAGGCGGCCATGTGCCTTTTAAGAAAGACGGTTCGATAGCTACGACCCCTGAGGAAAGGGAGCTGGTCGTCGACCTTTTATTTGGAGAGGGACAAGCCACGAGAATCGAGAGTCCATACATAGACTCAACCAACACACATGGAACGGGATGTTCACTTGCCTCTGCCATCGCCTCCAATCTTTCCAAAGGACTGAAACCTGTAGAAGCTGTCAAGGCCGCTTGTCGGTATGTCGAAGCAGGAATCAAGACTGCGCCCGGATACGGAAAAGGGAATGGTCCAATCAATCATTTCCATTCAGTTCTGACTCTTCCATTCTCTCGGTTAGTTTACCCCTGACTTAACGCGAACCTATCCTGCTATTGGCATCCTGCTAATGTCAACAAGGGGACACTTTTTAGAATACCTTTTGGAGCGACCTGACGTATCGCCAGTGTGGCACCAATTTATTAACCATCCATTCGTCCTCGGTCTCGGGAGTGGAGAATTGCCTCTTGAATCGTTCAAAGGCTATCTGATACAAGACTACTTGTACCTAGTTCACTTCGCAAGGGCAAATGCGTTGGCTTCATACAAGTCCAAGAATATGGAGGATATTGCAGCCGTAGGTGGTTATTAAATAAGAAGTAAGTTGATGCTAATATTGTAATTAGGGCGCTAAAATCGTGTCGCATATCCATACTGAGATGAAACTTCATCTTGACTATTGTAAAGAATTCGGCATATCCAAAGAGGAGATAGAGGCGACAGAGGAACATCAAGGTATAAAGCCCCAACCTTGCTCACCATCTCACATCGACACCCAATTGCTAACTCATAGCTCAGCATGCACGGCATACACGAGATACGTCCTTGATATTGGGCAGTCGGAAGATTGGATTGGCCTTCAAGTTGCAATCGCCCCTTGCCTCCTTGGTTATGGAGCCATTGCAAAACAGCTTCACGGCGACCCAAGAACAAAGACGGAGGGCAATACGTACTGGAAATGGATCGTGAACTATATCGAGGAGGACTACGTGGAGGCGGTAGGGACCGTGTCTGGTGAGAACGCCCCTTAACTACGTACTGCCTGGGACTTGTCGAAAAATACTGATTTGAATGTTGGTGACAGCTCTCATGGAAAAGAACGCAGTCTTACAATCCCCATCAAGGATAGAAGAGCTGGTCAAGATCTTCATCCACGCTACTAGGGTAAGACACCTGAGATAGAGATAGAAGATATCACGTAATACTAACTTTGGGATAGATGGAAATTGGCTTTTGGGAGATGTTCCCATTAGCTTAAATCGTGTCGAATCTCGTAGGATAGGATCACTATAGAAGGGAAGCGCGGGCATCTGGAGAGGATATATGGATATATGGATGGTAGTCGTTTGCATTTTGGTGTATTTTCACCTATGAAAGGTGACCCTCTCGCGCCGGTTTGCTTACTTGGCATACGTACTTCATCAATCAAGCCTTAAGGTACCTTTTAGCTAGGTGTACCTAATATGTATGATTGATCTCACGCACTGTTATGTACCTGAGTAGCACTTGATACCTCTCATAGGTAGATGATAGGTGATTGACACACAAAAAAAAACAGGTTACATAAGAGGCAAAGATAATTGAAGAATTTACCTGCTGGTGGCGAAAGCTGATAGCACCTGCTAGCAGCTGCCATCAGCTGCATATTGCACAGTTTCTCCTATGTACTTTCTTAACGTACCTCCACTTCCGACGTGTACAATATGTACGTACCCTGGGGGAGCATGAGTGACCCGACCTATGCCCCGCTCCCCATCTGACCTCACCTAACCTGTGCAGGGGCAGCTTGTGTGAGAGACCTGACATGACCTAACCTGTGTAAAAGTTCAGTAGACCTATGGAATAAAATTC